CTAAACACCAACACTACATTTAGAAATCATTAGTAATAACACTACTAAACACAAACACTACATTTAGAAATCATTACATTAGTAGTAATACTACTAAACACAAACACTACATTTAGAAATCATTGCATTAGTAGTAATACTACTAAACACAAACACTACATTTAGAAATCATTACATTAGTAGTAATACCACTAAACACAAACACTACATTTAGAAATCATTACATTAGTAGTAATACTACTAAACACCAACACTACATTTAGAAATCATTATATTAGTAGTAACACTACTAAACACCAACACTACATTTAGAAATCATTACATTTGTAATAATACTACTAAACACCAACACTACATTTAGAAATCATTACATTAGTAGTAATACTACTAAACACCAACACTACATTTAGAAATCATTACATTAGTAGTAACACTACTAAACACCAACACTACATTTAGAAATCATTACATTAGTAGTAACACTACTAAACACAAACACTACATTTAGAAATCATTACATGTGGAGTACCCAGACCTCCAGATACTCCTAGGGTGTACCAGCTAATGAAACTTACAGATTACGAGTCGAATACCTAGACCACCATATATTCCTAGGATGCATCAGCTAATGAAACTTACAGTTTCAGTTGTTTATTGATATTTGGAATTCTATCATGATACAGTATTCAATTATTTTTGACTCCATTTTTCCCCGATGGGTCAAGAGTAAGTTTATGGACTTACAATGCTAAAACCTGAGGTTCGATTTGGTTAACAATAAACTTAAGGAATTGCAGCACTAAAATCCGGGGTTGGATGACCCACAATGGACAGAGTGTATATAGCTTATTGTAGAGCTTTGTGCGACGAGAAACAAACATTTTTCCATTAAAATGTCTTAACAACATCTCAAAAGAAAAAAAAGTTTCAAAATTTGGTCCATTAACTTTTGCGCCAATATTTTTTACATATCAAGTTGAATAAAATTTCTTAACTATGACGTATAGGTAACAAATGATGGATAGTTCATCTGGTTGTTAAGCACAAAGCTACTCAATGAGCTATCTGTGCTCTGCCCATCACGGGTATCAAAAGCCGATTTTAGCGTTGTAACCCCGCTGAGCCTCAGATAAATGAATATATCAAACATATTGTCGGTGTGAACGTGCTTTATAGTCACTGTGAGAAAAACCTATACACTGTATAGGTGAAGTAAAGAAAAAGTGTCATTGTCCACTATTCGGTTCTTCACATTATATAGTCGCACAATAACAGATGTGATAAATAAACTTAGTATTCCGGAAATTTTTCAATCTCGAAGTCTAAGTTCAAGGGAGATCCAGTTCAATCTACACTTTTATTTCTTACTTCAAAAATGACAGTATAGAAAAAAAAATTAAACGTCAGAAACCGCACATGGAGCTTCCACGTGAATTAAATTATTATTATTAAGCCATACAATAACGACTGTATGTGTGTGTGGGGGGGGGGGTCCATATACTCAATAGACTGCTGAAACTCATTTATGTAAACTGTGGTTTTGTATCAAATTGCTTATCAATTACAAGGTACCTAATGATATAAGAACGCACCAAAAAATGTAAACAAAAATGAAATTAATGTTGTAATTAATCCTACTAGTTACTGTGTATTGTACATAGAACTTGACCAGTTTTTTGTTGTTGTTGTTTCACACACAGAGTGCTGTAACTGAACAATATAAAAACAAGTCGGTAATTCGAGGGTCAACTGAAAAATTATTGCTTATGCAATTTTATTAATTAGAAAAAAAAATCGAGGTGAAGCTCCCAATTTCAGTCATTTACATTCTTTCTTCCAGTATAAAACTTTGCAATTGAAGTTCTAGATTTATGAAAATAATATGCCCCCTCTCCCCGGTGTGTCAACGTTAATTACGAAGTTACAATGCTAAAATCCGGGGTTCGAGTTCCTGCGGAGAACAGAGTGATGTTGTATACCTTTGCACTAAAATAAGCAACAGCAAAGCATAAATGCGAAAAAAAAAACTCTTGAGAGACTTACAATAAATCAAAAGATGTAATGATAGGCCATAAATATTTGGGCACTGGCCCACACAAGCAAAAAGCTTGTTGTTAAACAGTAAAAACATTTTATTTTAGTTTTTACGATTTTTAACGAGATGTCAAAAAAAATCAGTCAAATTTCTATGGTCATGCGTAAGCACAGCTCTTAAAAAAAAAAAGAGGACCTTACAGTTCAAAAGTTTACTGACCCTCTCACATCAAAATTAAATGCATTCTGAGCCTTAGCACCAAGTTCTTCCTATAACCAGCAACGCCCCTGGCGACTATTGTATAAGTAATTGAACTTCAGGTTAGAAGAATAAATGCGTCTTTCACTACAGCGCCCAAGCAAACGAATTATCTCTTCCGTGACGTTTGTATGACGCTGTGGTTTATGGATTAGAGCTTCAGCGCATGGCCACTATCGACCCGAAACATCTTCAAGCAAACGCTATTTCCATATGGTAGCATACCATAAGCTGTGTTTTGAAGAGAAGTAGGTTTCTCAAATTCAGATATGTCAATTTTTAAATCGCATAAACTTTATTTCCTTCTAATTCTTATTTCATCACCGACAATATTCAGAACTGTTCGATCACACCCGGTTTATTACGAACGAAATTTAAATCAATATACTGATTTTTACGAACAACTACAAGAACTTCTAGCTATTCACAAGAATCGGGTAAGTTTTGGCTTCACATCTTTCCTTGTTTATACAGACACATATCCTTTTATTACATACATACGTATTGCCTGGATAAAAATGGAATTAGATTATTTCTTTATAAATATATCTATATATGAATAGTAACTAGTTAAAGAATATAAAAACTACAATTTTCGTTGTTGTTAAGCGCACAATTTATGCTGTGCCCACCACTGGTATCGAAATCAGATTTTTAGCGTTATAAGCCTTCAGTTTAACGAGTATTTTGAGGACATGTAATTTTCAGTAATAACGGAAAACATTACTAATTTGGCATGATAACTAAAGATGTTTTAATTAAATACTGTTAAACAAAAATAACTATAGATTAATATAGGGAATATCTGTCAATTAACCGTTTTCACATAATTATATGATTGTTCACTTGACATTTGTTTGATTGCATTTAAATGTTCATTTCAAAAAATAAGTTTTATTTTAAAAACATATTTGAATTTTCAAAATATATACAAACTTTTGCATTCAAATGTTTGGACCTAAATATTATTTGAAGTATATCTAAAGAAACAAAGGAGTAAAGTTTAAATCTATTAATTTCCATTTACTTTTGTTTTGTTTCTGTATAATAGATAGGTAATATAGAAAATGCTATACCCAGCAGGGTATTTTAGCCAAGTTTAATTAGTAAACGTAACTCGAACAATTCAGCGACCTTTATCCCACTACAATTTATTAATGTAGAGGTTGAAGATAGGCGGGAATATAACGACTGAATTATTCGGGTTATTACCGAGTACTTGCGTTCGTTTTCGTTGAATTATGTTTGTCAGGTAGTTGCAATGTTCCGATATGTTAAACAGTCGACGTTGAGTTGGAAAACATCACAAATAATTTAAAAAGGCTGCAGCAGGTTACAAAAATAAAAATGACCTTAATGGCTTTCCGGCACTTAGTGATTGTTAACTGAAATGATTAGGCCTTAACTGGGCTTATGGACAAAACTTTGCACAATTATTGTAAACATATTCAAGTGTTGAAAGCAATAAAAATTATCATTATTATTACTTATTACAGCGAAAATTACGTTTAGAAGTTCCCCCGGTGAAATCTTGTATATGTCTATAGTCAGCAGTACATTTCCGGAATTACAATGCTAAAATCTGGAGTTTGATTCCCAGAGGAAAACAAAGCTTGTTTGTTTGTTAAGCACAAAGCTACACAATGAGCTATCTGTTGCTTTGCTGCCTCTTCATACCGCGGATATCGAAACCCGAATTTTAGCTTTGCCGCTGAGCCATCGGGGGAGGCGGTGGACAGAACATATATATCCATTGTACAGCTTTGCGCAAAGAGTAAAAACAAACAGTTTATAAGATTACTGTCATCTGTAAGTGATTTGTTTGTTTTAAAATTTTCGCCCGAACTACACAAGGGCCCCCTGATGGTTCAGAATTAAATTTAAGGGCTCATAACGCTAAAAATCAGGTCTTGATACAGGCGGTGGGCTGTGTAGCTTTGTGCTTAACAAGAAAGAAATAAGCTACAGAAGGGCTATCTGCGCATAGCTATATCTAATTTTGAACTGAAAGACTAGTGTAAAGGCAGCTAGTCAATAGTACTGTTGCGTCATCGAGATCATGTGATTCTCAAGCTCTCTACTATCTAGAATTATCCTGTACTTTGGCGAATGTTCTAGTAATTACTAGATATAGGGTAGGCTGGTATATAAAAGAGGGGAAGGTAATGTCTGTGTAGACAGTGAGTAATTGAACTGCAGTCAGAGAGCACGAGAGACGTTACAGG